AACCACTGATGAACAAGTTGATGTCATTCATCGTATGGTTTTGGATCACAGACGCTTTATTGTCCAGCACATAGCTAGGTCTTTAGGCATTAGTTCTGGTTCAGTCCATACTGTTTTAACTGAGATCTTGGGGATGAGCAATATGTCTAAAAGATGGATCACCAGAGCAAAAGCCGAAAAGTGTTGATATTTCTAGGACGCTTCTGACTTTCTTCCAGGCTGACCCTGAGAATTTCCACTGCAGATTAGTAAGATGTAACCTTTGTTCACCAACTTTGAACCTGAATAAAAGATTTGAAGCAAACAGTAGAAGCACTCTGGTTCTCCAGTCCCGAAAAGGTTCAAGCAGGCAGCGTCTGTTGTCAAGATAATGGCTTCTGCTTTTTTGAGATTCTGAAGATGTAATCATGATAGACAGATGTAGTTTATCATCTTACGAGGACGCAGATGTAGTTTATTTTCTTACCCAGGACGCAGATGTAGTTTATCGTCTTAACCAGGACGCAGATGTAGTTTATTTTCTTACCCAGGACGCAGATCTAGTTTATCGTCTTACCCAGGACGCAGATGTAGTTTATTGTCTTACCCAGGACATAGATCTAGTTTATCGTCTTACCCCGGACGCAAATCTAGTTTATCGTCATACCCAGGACGCAGATCTAGTTTATCGTCTTACCCAGGACGCAGATGTAGTTTATTTTCTTACCCAGGATATAGATGTAGTTTATCGTCTTACCCAGGACGCAGATGTAGTTTATGGTCATACCCAGGACGCAGATGTAATTTATCGTCATACCCATGATCTGGAAAAATCTTGCTCCATAATATCACGCCCGTTTACACTACTCAGACTGCAGTAGTTGAATCCGCCAACTGTGGCTGAATTGCCCATCCCCCTAAATCATGATGATTTAGGGGGATGGGCATCATCTAAACTCCATCTAAACTCAAAATCCCACTTGCGTTGTCACCATTTTGGAAACAATGATGAAATCATGTGTGCTGTAGAGTATTTGGGGGAAGACCAGGGCTCCACCTAGTTGAGTGATGGGATTGCAATGTTTAAGCATCACTGGACCAAGTGCATTGATGTCATGGGGGACTATAATGAAAAATAGTGAAAAACTGTCTTGTTTCTTCAACTCCTTCTGGTGGGTCTTAGTGACTTTTTGAGTGAACCTCGTATTAAATAACAGCTAGACGAGATATCCCTCGATAGGGGCAGCAGAATAAGAACAATTTAACCTCGTCGATTAAATAAAGCATTCGGTTCGGAATTTCCAGAAGGTGACCTGAACCAGCAATAACCTGATGAAGACCGGAAGGCAAAACGGCCGAAACGATTTTCTTAAGATGGTGAAACTGGCGTAACCGGCATTCTCGACAACGTAGACGTTTCTTCTTTCCCTTGCCTGGGTAAATTAACATTCCTCTGCTATCTGTGTAACTGCTTCCGACTTGACTGTCAATTCCTGCCATCGGGACCACTTGTACTTCCCGAGCTTGTATTATCGAGCAAGTACTATTAGTGTGAGTGATATTCGAAGGCGTCTGGTACCAGTATTGTTCAACGGCGTTACTAAAGTTGTATCTGCGATTACAAAGTCTCTACTACAACGAGCATTACGAAAGTGACAATGAGTATTCGTTGACATTACAAAAGTGGCAACAAGTGTTCGGTGACATCAAAAAATAAACAAATGAAAGTATTTTCAGAACAGGCAAGACTACAGAATTTTTATGCCTTGCAACTATGTAACTTCTTAAATTTATTTTACTGTATTTAACTCCCAAATTAAAAAAAAACGCTGACCTTCTACGGATGATCTGATATTCACAATTTCAAATCAAACTCTTCACTAATCTGAATATCAACAAAAGATATCAGGTAAACGACTTGCATCCTGAAACTTCATTTCTGATTCGTCTTAATTTCAACTTAATGATTTTTTTTCCTTCTTTTCATAGCAACTTCATTCGAAATGTGGATCTACATCAGTGACATATCAGAACGGATTCGAAATAAAATAATCAATAATAATAAGTTCCTGGGTAAGTATCATATTTTTATCTCGATATGCCTGTTCAATCGTACCAGCTGCTCTGCCGATTGAACTACAGGGAACTCTACGGCTGGCAGAAGCTCAAATCTAACTATTTAAACTTAAGCTTCACCACTTTCTAATCCACTGTGCGCCAAATGGTTACGTATACTGGCTTTACTTGTATTATTGTTGTTAAGTTGAGTGATCACCCTTGAAACTAGGATTGTTCAGGAAGAGTGTTGCCACAGGCTGTATATAACGAAATCAACATTCATGATGAGATGGAGTAATTCTTTTCAGTCACAGAGCAAACTGTGGTGAGCAACTGGGCTCAAAATACAGACTATTAACAACTTTTACTTACATGGATAAATAAATAATTTGCTTCATAAACTAAAAAAATATATATAAATTAAAATCATTATATTATTGTAAAATGAATGAATTCAGGAGCCTTAATATTCTCTTTACGCATGCGCGTAAGTATTTATTTTCGTGAGAATCCATATTTGTTTATCAGTGTCTTTGTGTCTATATATCTCTGCGCAGTCGCTTAATAAAATAAATTATTTCTTTTTCTTTGTGTATCTGTGTATTTTTAAGGACATTGCACTTGAAGTAAACATGTTTTGATAACGCAGTCTAATGTTTTACGGCAGTTCTTCAGAACAAAAGACTTTTCTTCGCAGACGTCTCTTTGAGTAGGTGGCTTTGAATGGCCACAGAACAGAAAACTATTCGACAACACCTGTCTGCTTCTTCATATTCTGAAGCGTAACAAGCAAGGAACAAAAAAATCAGGGTTTTTTTTTATTAATCAACGAAGTATAACGTTTAAAAAGGAAGACATGTTTTACCATTTTTATCTGGGTAGAAAAGTGAATAGTTATCTGCCGGGTCACTGACTCACAGCCGTAAAATATTTGTTTCGAAACAACGTGTGGATCAATAATTCCTGTCAAGATAAACAGAAGTTTAAATGATCTTTTTTATATTCCATGCCTTTCAGGAGGTGGGTAATCAAGGCTCTCTACAACTTCTTGTTACGTTTAGAGATTTGTAACCCTTTACCAACTTTCTTTGCCCTTCTGATCCTTGTTCTACCATTACTCAAACGAAAATAGGCTACTCTATGTTTTCTCAATTTTGCCTTCGCTATGCCTGTGAGTGTTAAATTCGTCAAGCCGCTTATCCTTATTATGCATCCCAGGAATTTCACCTGTCGCTTAGCAGTTCTTTTCTTTGTTTCTAAAGACGTTTTCCTATTCTTTAATACTTTACTTAGTTTCTGAAAGGCACTGTCTTAACTCCTTTCAGAACATTGGTAATCAAGGCTCTGCACAACCTCCATCTACCATTCATTTACTCAAATTCAAATAGGTTACTCGATTTTTTCTCTGCTTCTCTTGCTTTCAGTATGCCCAGTGAGTGTTAAATTCTCCGAGCCTTTTTTCCTTATCATGTGTCCCAGGAATATAACCCCCTCTCCCCCTCTCTCTCCCCCCTCTCTCTCTCTTTCTAATTGTTATCAGATATTAGATATTACATAACAGTTCAATATTTTTTTTCTTTTTAAAAAACATCTCCCTATTACTTTATACTTTGCTTACTTTCTAAAAGGCATTTTCGTTAATTCTATGCTCCTTCGCATTTCAACTAACTAGCTTTTCTTTTAATTTCTATTCTCCATAAATAATTCTAAGCGTCTAACCTAATTATCTATATAACAAATATCAATATCAGTGTTGTGTCACGCCTTTTCACTTAAAGGGACACAACTTTCAATAGATCATCTCCTTCTTTTATATAATAAATGCCAAAATGCAGTGTGCCGAACTTTTTCAAATAAAGGGACACAACTCTCAATAGTTAATCTTCTATAAAATAAATGCCACTGTCAGTATGTCACTGTGTCACACTTTTTCAATTAAAGGGATACAACTCTCTAACAATGCAATACTTAAATGCAGTGATCAATTTTGAGATATTCTGTAGTTTATTATCGCATATCGCATACGGCAGCAGTACACCTCGCAAAATGAAATCTCCTGCAACAGAGGAGCAGATTGCAATCTATAGGCTGCAGCGAAGAAAAGAAAGTCCAGTGCAAATGGAAACCCAGATCAAACGGCAACCAGGAGGGCTTCCAATGCTGAGAATATGCAAAGACTTAGCGACAAACTCCTGAACAAGACGAAGGCCTAATCAAGAGCCCTCTGCAGGAGCTAGCAGGAGTGATAGGGCGACTTTTAAGCTAGTTGCTAATAACTCGGAAACCCATGTAAAATGAATTCTCGGGTCCTTTGGAAGATTTCTATCTCCAACACTAATTACCAGAAAACAACATAATATTCTTACATTGATCATACAGACACCACACTTTCTCGTATGTTAACTTGTCGCTATTCGTGCACATTACTGTCATCACATGACAAATAACGAAACTATAACTGTTAACATAGTAAATGATATCCCAGTTCAATAAAGCCATCACTAAAGAAAAAAACTAGCATCAAATAAAATATCTTTCATCAGGGAGAATGGCATTTTAAAATGCGCATGGAATATTTCATAATACCTTCCTCTTCTAATACTGTCAAGTAATGCCAAGCTCAATGAAAGCGTTCTATATATGACGACACTTATACTGACTACTGTACTGATGTGGCATTCACTTTGGGCGGATTGAGCCGGCTTCTTCCTGTTATGAGAAGAAGATTCTTGGGATAAATTACAGAAGTAGGGTACCCAGGCCTACTCGGATAACGTCCTTGCTTGCCGCGGGATTCCCACAGACGCAGAGATAGGAACGACCAGAAGCCGCCGGTTACCGATGCAGACGCTCCTTGGATTTTCACCAGAGCCCTTGTTAGCCGGCGTGTGTGTCAGACCTGTCCGCCTTGGGTGGCCCTACCAGGAACGAAGTTCCGGGCGGCATAGCTCTGACACTACTACTTACGGTCAAATCACGCTGAAACACCGGTTCTCGTTCGATCACCGAAGTTAAGGATCGTAGAGCCAGGTCAGTACTTAGATGGGGGACCGCTTGGGAACACCTGGTACTGTAAGCCCCCAAAGTCCAACCCTTATCTCACAGTCGGTGGGGGGTGTAAACACTTATAGGAGACACGGGTATTTAAATTCTTAAAATGCCAATTTCAATTCCTGTTGCGTAATTTAGTTATATTCACTTATGAGCAAATACCCTTGGGAAATGTATGAATCCATTTGCCCTCACCCAGCTATGGGTTAATTAGTAAAACCTATATCATTAAACCATTATTATCTAAAAAATTTGTTTTGGATTTAAATAACCTATAAAGGAAACCCTGTGACTGGCAGAAGCTCACCTCTAACTATTAATTTAACCGTTAACTCTTTCTGACCGCTCTGTGTCAAATGGTTTTACATATGCTAGCTTTACTTGCTTACCAAATTCTCGTCCATTCATATCAAACACCTCAATCAGCATCATCATTTTGACTTCAAAATTCTACCTTGAGTAGCTTTCGAGCCTTGAGTTGGGTATAATTCAGTACCAAAAGTCTTATGAAATGGTTAGTTATCCAACTCACGTTTTATTATGCATAACAACTTTACGTTACCAGAATTCCAAAGTATATTTTTCTACTAAAGTTCACCTAATACCAGGCCCAAGAGCCAGTCAAGGTAGAGGGCCACTGAATGGTGTGTGTTACCAACACGAGAAGAGGGATTAGGAAGTGAAGTTTACGAGGATATGGCGGATAGACAATGACTGACCTTAGATTTGAAGGGGTTAAGTTTGTAATGTTCGGGAAAGGATCTATGTGGGAGTTTGTAGAGGTTCTTGAAATTCATTTTCGTAGTGTAACTCTCAAAGCAATAAGTGGGGAATGAGGGTGATTCAGTCGTGTGGCAGTAGCAAGTAGCGTGTCTTTGCTGTAAAGGTCGTAGCTTGACCTTTTCGAGTCATGGGTCAACTGTCATCCTTTCCCCTTTATTTTCAATCTTCATTTCATATCACCTTTTCTTTAATTCATAGTATGCATCTCATTCAACACTAGCCTTTTGTTGACTGTAACCTTCTATCCTGAGTGGCTCTCGGGCCTTGGTGAACTTTTCAAAATAGAAATCAATATGTATTCCTAGGTCTGATTTACGATGTGTGAACTTAACTCAGCGTAGTCTAAGAATTTAAATATACCGTCAGGCGCTGTACTCTTTTTCGTTGAGTTATCACCGCAAGCAAGGCAATAAAGCCACTAAGACGCAATTGGATTTAGTGAATGTGAGAGAATACGAGAAAAAGAAAATATCAAAGAGAGAGAACAATAAAAGAACAGGAATTAAGAAGACAGAATATAACGATTGACATTACATTTAAATCAAAGTTCACTGGAAAGCAAGAAGCCGGAAGAGAGTTCCAGAAGTGGGAAGTGCGAGAGAAGAAACTGTTAGCATAGAACTTACGGTTGCATCTAGCCGTTTCAACTCTAAACTGATGAGACCTAGCTGACAATCCAGTACTGCGCTTAAATTCATAAAGTCTAGATACCAAAGCGGAAAACTCATCAGAAGAATATTAATTAAAATATTTATAGAAAAGTAACAGAGATGCGTTACATCAATGGGAAAGATCTTTCGTTGTATTTTATCAAGAATCTCTAAATGCATAGCAGAATCACCAGACGATATGTAACAGCAATATTCAGTGCATGGACGAACGGTAGACTTATAAATGTTTATAAATGTGTAAGATATATTCTGGAGAGAAAAATTGTCATGTACAACACAGTGAACCACCTTTTCTGACAGCAGACCTAGCAATTGATTCAAAATAATCTTACCACTTCATGCCAGATGCCCTTTTCTTCTCGTCATCTATAAAGATTAGTTGCATACGTCACCATTTTCACAAAGGAAAACCATTTGACGTTTAAAGATCATTGACCTTATCATATAGTCGCCTTTTTGCAAGGGATAAATTTCTCTTTGCATCAAATTCACTGACCTATCCTCTCGAGCAATTTGTATCCGTCTGTTAGTAAATGAAAGCAAAGTTTCATTTGTGATGAGAAGAATACTAACCGAGACATCGGATTATTATTAACCGCATGTTTTATTATATGCAATCTCCAGCGCCATATTGGAATATCAGCGCTCTGCAATGTCCTCCGGCTTTATCGTCTGGTGTTTTGAATAGCCTTCCGTCTGAATTATGTAGGAGATCAACCAGGCGATCCTCTGTCTCAAAGAAGCAGACAGTGCTGTTGCCGCCTGTATTTTATGTTTTCAAGCACTCCTTTCCAAATTCGATGTCAGATGATGCAACAAGATTTTCGTTTCGTTTCTACTGATTTTAATTTTTGATTTACCGGGTTCCTGATAATAGAATGATATGCAAAACGATACACACCGGAAAGAAAATATATCACGAATCCAATCCAGTTTTTTTTTAAACCACTATAATTTACTGTCATGCCTGAGGTTATCGAGCAGGTTCTTATGGCGTATATTTATATATCTCGCTCCTAATTCTGATAAAACTTGATGAAATAATAATAAAAAACGAAAGAATATCGGGAAAAAATAACTTGTAATCACTGTCTACTTAAGTGCAAATGTAACTTTGAAGAATTTGAAAATACAGACACTAACGAACCATGTATTGAACGAGAGCTCAAAGAACCGTTATTTGACTCCAAACAACCAAATTGGATTTTTTTCTTTTTATCACACACGAGCAATCAAAAGGTTATCAAACATTTATTTTATATTTTCCGTTTATGATTTTATAAACCCATGGCGTAGATGCAAATTTTGCGGTATGACATTATTTTTATACGACCAGATCTTGATTAGACATTTTTTTGGACATTTACGATCTCTGATTCTATCAAGAACAGATACATGTCTAATAGTGACATATATATGGTAATAGTAATGGTATACGTTTGTGATATGTCCCCGAAAGGGATATATTTGTTCGAAGTAGCAAAGTGGTTTTGGACTACTCTAACCGGGTAGGACAATCTAGCCGTAATGGACTAGTCCTCGTCGTAGGCAATAGGCGTAGGCAATAGGCGAGGTCAATAGGCGTAGTCCATGTACCTCCACATCAGTCTGTATTTATGGCTGATACCAGCCAATCATATTACTGTGAGGGGGAACGCAGGTGTATGCATATTCATTACATCAGTTTCCTTATATGGAAAAGTTCGGCATACATTGACCGTGCAGTCGCTGCTATTCGAGTTACGCTGTTCTTCACTCTCTGGCCATCGAGCTAGGATTAAAGTGTAGTATCAGTTCTCTTCATCTCTAATGGTAATTAACGGTCTCCTCTTTATAAAGAAACATACAGCATTCATTGGCCAAGCAGCCAATGCTAACTTCGGTGGAAATTTATAAAGTCTTTCCCATAAAATGGTAAAATAGATTACGCAACACTGTTATCGCACTTTCCAGCAATGATGGGGGGATGGTTCTTCCTAATCTTTTCTTTGAAGTAGAATTAGAAATAAAGAACCGTACCAAATGAGACAATCTACACCATCTGAAGACTTGAAATGTCAACACCTTTATTGTGTTATTATTTTCCCTTCGAGTTACGTGTGCTTTCCATTTTAGTTGTTGCTGCAGTTAAAAGTCTAAAACTGATCTGGTTTTTCTTATTTGGTACAGTTCTTTGTTTCTGATTATGCAGCGCCAATCAATGAGGTTCGAAGGAGTACGTTTCTCGCTAAGAGATACAAGTTTCATTTGCTCGAAACCATTTTGACCAATGATTTGATAAAGCAGTTGCATACAGCCGATAGTTTAAATAGAGAGCTCGCTAAAGGAGTAGTAACGTGTGGTATTAAGATCGCTCGTGTTGAACTGACAGTTGTAATAGAGTGGTGATTATTTTATTTAATTTATATCTATCTATCTATCTATATCTATATATAGAATATATATATATTATTTATATATATATATATATATCTATCTCAGTCAATCTATTAATCTATCTATCTATCTATCTAGATCTATCTATGTATTTATATATATATATATATATATATATATATATATATATATATATATATATATAAAAATTTGGATTATCTATCTATCTATCTATCTATCTATCTATCTTTTCTCATCTATCTATCTATCTATCTATCTATCTATCTATATATATATATATATATATATATATATATATATATTGCAGATTTTTTAGATAGATAGATAGATAGATAGATAGATAGATAGATAGATAGATAGATAGATAGATATGGCATGGAGATTAACACAGAAAAAACTCATGAGAAATGGCTTTCAAGTAAGATGGTGGATAGAAACATAAAGTCGTGAGCCTATTCAAATATCTTGACTCAATTATCAGCGAAGAGAGTTCCAGAATAGAAATAAAGAACGGCAACTGTCGCAAAACAAAGAATTATTTGGAAAGACAAGAACATCTGCCTGAAAGCAAATGTGAATGGATATATTCACAAGGACTACCTCAAAGTGCACACTTATTAATCTAAAAAAAATACTGGCAAATGAATGTTGAAAGAAAGCACCAGGAAGACCTTGAAATTCTGTTTGGGAACAAGAAACAGATACCTAGAAAGAACGAAAACAATGAAAATAAATAGCGTCCATATGACTTTAAGCAAACCTTGCGTGTCGATCAAATCAATTTGAGTTTTCGACGGTTATTCGGAAGAAAACGCTTGGTATAAATAGAAAAGGAAATGTGGCAGGGAATGTTTGAGGTGGGTAAATTGGTTTGTCGTTAAAGGCACAGGTGGTTTTTGGCCTAAAGATTTTAAAAAACAATATATTATGTAAGTGGGAAATAAGTTTTACATTGGCACACGAGATAACATTTGATAGATCGACAAAGTCCGGTTCACAGTGACTGATTGACCAGCATTAGTGGACAGATATTATAAATTGGGAAAGCGATAAAGGATTTCATATAGGTTGAGAGTAACCGAGATATGGACAGACTAAGATAGATAGATAGATAGATAATGAACAGACCGAGATAGATAGATAGATAGATAGATAGATAGATAGATAGATAGATA